TAAATCTCCCATTATCCCTCGTACCTGATGATGTGAATCTGATAGTCTTGGTGAAATCCAAGGCTATTCTTGAGTTTTCCTCCTCAAAGCTTCTATATATCATCTCTTATCCTCTTACTCCTTCATAATATCCAAAAATGAGAATTGATGAGGTTAGTATGCTAACCCTTCCTTTTCATTCTCTCGGGCCAGGTCAATCCAACTCAACTCAATTCCGACCCGTTTTTCCTTCCTTTCCAAAACAATTATTAAATAAATATTAATAATAATATCAAATATATTTCTCTTCAATAAAAATAATAATTATTATATATCTATATCCCAAAAATATAATAAAAATATAACTTTATAAATAATATTATTTTCTAAAAAATAAGGTGTTACATAATGTAAACGATTTAGTAATTTAATTATCCAATTTGATGGTGAACATCATGTTTGATCTAGTTATATTGAAACGCTATTTGTATCATCTTCTAAATCTTTGATATATATTTTTTATTTATTTAAAGTTATCAACTTTTATTATATATTGGGAATAATATTTGTAGTAATACAATGAGGAAAATTACATTCATGAGTATTTATGAGAATAGGCTTTTAAGCAAATTAGAAAGATAAAAATAAAAAATTAATTATCACATAATGGAATCAACTTATTCACATTTTTTTTTTTAAAATACAAGAGTATGAAAGTTTTCTTGAGAAACTTCTATGTCTACGAATAAATTTTTTAATTTTATAACAAATATAGGAAAAAAAATATTTTCTACCTATATATTTTAAAAAATAAGATAAAATAATTTGAGATAAGTCCACTTTTATATTATTTTTTTTCCACATCAGTATCATACGACTAGTTCATATAAATATCACACTAACTTGACAATATTTTATTGGTCACTACATTATAGATAACTAACTTTATATAAATTTAAAATTTGAGAAGTTAAAATATTTCGTCATATATGAATTATAATAACTATCTTATATAATATTGTTTTTAAGTAAGGGTAACGAAATAAACCAATTCATCCTACATAAAAATATAGGTTAGAAATTATAAGATATTACATTTATTAGTGAGTTGGTAGATTGGTCAACTTGTTTAATAATTAAAAATGATTTTTATTTTATTTATATATAATATTTATTAAGAAATAAAATATATTAACTTAATTTTAAAATAAAAATTTATTTAAATACAATAAAATGAATAAATAAAATCATAAAAAAATCAATGTGAGTATTTACATTTAGTTAACATATATATATATATATAGAATTATTGTTAAATTATATTTTGAAGTTCTCTATTTAATTTTAAGATTCAATTTTTTTAGAGGAATTTTAAGATTCAATTTATATTTATATTTTTTTTTATTTTTTTATGAACTTTTGATGTCGACATATATTTATAGTATTAAGATTAGTTGACACAAGTGTTAATAACTTGTGTTCCTTTATCAAGTTGTTCAAGATTTTAATTTTGAGTTAAGATATAAAATAACTATGTTGGAAGGAGAATATCTTATTTTATATACACTCACGATTGTCAATGAAGATTAATCATTGTTTTCAACACTGTATGCTTCATACTAATATAGTTGTTACTACAAAAATATATATCTATGGTTATTAATAAATATATTTTGTATGTGTAAAAAAATATTAAGACAAAGGCTAGAGATCAAGTTATGTCTCTCATGACTAATCACTATAGGTATTAGAACTCTAACAAGATATTTTGTTGGAGCAAAAGCTTTCCTTGTCTTATTTGACCAAAGGTTCAAAGATAATAATTCTCAAGCAATAATAGAGATAATAGAAGTTGACTTGAATCAACCTGTGTCATACATTGTCCCAAACTTTACAATGAATCTTTTTGATTTCATAGAAAACATAAATTTAGAAATACAAACAAGGGGTTTTGGAGAAAACTTCGATGAAAACAACCTCCATTTAGACATAACCTTTATAGGAAGAATAAATGATCAGATATTACCTAGATATATGATCAATACAAATCCTTTCCTTCCACCTCAAATATTTGAGTTTAGAAGAAACCAAGGTACTGAATGGAAAACACATCTCAATTTTGGTTCTTCTAGAACAACCATAACAGCGCCACAAACAACCATAATGACAAATAGGAGAAATAGTCTCTCAATTAGGTTTATTGACTATGAAAATATACAAACTCCTTACCTACAATTTTTAAATTATTTAATTTGATCTTCTAATTTTAAAAAAAATATTCAATGTTATTCTTTTGTTTAAATTGACACCAATAATCTTAATGAAATCAGATAAAAAAATAATATTGAATATCACCTGAAAATTAGATAATCAAATTAAATCATTTAAAAATAATAAGATCATATTGAACATTTCATAAGTAAAAGGATTAAATTGAACAAAAATTTATCTAATATTTATTTTAAATAAATTTAAATTTTCTTTTATCTATTTAATTATTTATTTTATTAGTTAATTCAATCATTTTGTGATCATTTTTTAATTCTACCTATTTAATTTGTTGTCATTGATGATCTTGTTAAGATAAGTAAAAGAAAATTTAAACTTATTTTGAAAAAAAAATATTAAATAAATTATTATTCAATTTGATCTTACTATTTTTAAAATATTAAATTTAAATGTTTTAATTTTTAAAAAGTGTTTAATATCTTTTTTTATATAAATATTATTAATGTAATTAGTGTCAATTTAGATAAAAATGATAATATTAAACATATTTTAAATATTAAAAAATAAATTAAATCTTTTAAAAATAGTGAAATTAAATTAAAATTTTAAAATAAACAAAAAAACTAAAACATAATTTAACCAATAATTATATATACTATAATACCAACATAAATTTAAAATGATGGAAGTTTTATAAGAAAGCGACAGCGGAAGCAAGTAGAGTCGGCGAAACCGAAACGAACCATAGTAAGCTTGAGTTTCGCAGTTCTTTTCGATTTCTTTTCTGATCGGCGCGGCGCGTAGAAGCTCAACACCTTGCAGGTATCTACTCTTGGCATTTTCTTTACTTTCATATCTCGGTGTTTATAAACTCTGAAGATGCATCTCTCTTCTTTTTTATTTGCTGTGTCAAGTTATTGTAGGAGTGCCTATTAATTTTCGTTACTTACGTGAGATTTAGTTGTTTACTTTGATGCGGCTATATTAGGTTTAGCGGCTATGCTTTCGAATCAATTTGTTGTCTAATTTCGTTGCTTATATTCGGTTTTTGTTTTTATTTGAAATGAAATTAGGACCAGAAGTAGTGAAGTACTGTTATTTTGAGGTCGAATTGGCAGCAAAATGGAAGAAAAAGATGATTATGAGGAGTATGTGCCTGTGGCCAAGCGTCGGGCTATGGAAGCTCAGAAGATTCTCCAACGCAAAGGGAAGGCCTCTACTGCTGCTGATGATGATTTGGAGAAACTGGGAGTGGCTGAAACTAAGCCCAGTCTTCTGGTTAAAGCGTCGCAGTTGAAACGGGAACAGCCTGAGATCAGTGTCACGGAGCAGATTGTTCAACAGGAGAAAGAGATGATTGAAAACTTGTCAGATAGAAAAACGCTCATGTCTGTCCGCGAATTGGCCAAGGGGATCACTTATACAGATCCTTTGCTTACAGGGTGGAAGCCGCCTTTGCATGTGAGAAGGATGTCTAAGAAGGAATGTGATTTGATCCGCAAACAGTGGCATATAATAGTTGATGGTGTGGATATCCCGCCCCCGATTAAGAATTTTAAGGATATGAGGTTTCCAGAGCCAGTTTTGAAGAAGTTGAAAGCTAAGGGGATTGTACAACCAACGCCCATTCAGGTGCAGGGCCTTCCTGTTATCTTATCTGGGCGGGATATGATTGGGATTGCTTTCACGGGCTCCGGAAAAACTCTGGTATTTGTGCTTCCTATGATCATGGTGGCAATGCAAGAGGAGATTATGATGCCTATTGTTCCAGGAGAAGGTCCATTTGGTTTGATTATTTGTCCATCAAGGGAACTGGCTAGGCAGACTTATGAAGTGGTTGAACAATTCTTGATACCTTTAAAGGAAGCTGGATATCCTGAGCTCAGGCCTTTGCTTTGCATTGGTGGAGTGGATATGAGATCACAGCTCGAGATTGTGAAGAGGGGTGTTCATATTGTTATTGCCACTCCTGGAAGGTTGAAGGATATGTTGGCCAAGAAGAAAGTGAATCTTGATAATTGCAGGTATTTAACACTTGATGAGGCTGATCGATTGGTAGATTTGGGATTTGAAGATGACATAAGAGAAGTTTTTGATCATTTCAAAGCTCAAAGGCAGACTCTTCTATTTTCTGCCACTATGCCAACCAAAATTCAGAACTTTGCCAGAAGTGCTTTGGTGAAACCTATTATTGTCAATGTAGGACGTGCAGGGGCAGCAAATCTTGATGTAATTCAGGAGGTAGAGTATGTTAAGCAAGAGGCAAAGATAGTTTACCTCCTTGAGTGCCTTCAGAAAACCCCACCCCCTGTTCTGATATTCTGTGAGAACAAGGCTGACGTGGATGATATCCATGAATACCTTCTGTTGAAAGGAGTGGAAGCAGTGGCTATTCATGGAGGCAAGGATCAGGAAGAGAGAGAGTATGCCATTGCAGCCTTTAAGGCTGGAAAGAAAGATGTGTTGGTAGCAACTGATGTTGCATCCAAAGGTTTGGATTTTCCTGATATTCAGCATGTCATTAATTATGACATGCCTGCTGAAATTGAAAATTATGTCCATAGGATTGGACGAACTGGAAGATGTGGCAAGACTGGTATAGCAACAACATTTATAAACAAGAATCAAAGTGAGACAACATTACTTGATTTGAAACATCTCTTGCAAGAAGCAAAACAAAGGATTCCCCCAGTTTTGGCTGAGTTGAATGATCCAATGGAAGATAATGAAGAAATCACGGACATAAGTGGGGTCAAGGGATGTGCATATTGTGGTGGGCTTGGTCATCGAATCCGTGATTGTCCCAAATTAGAACATCAGAAGAGCATGGCAATTGCAAATAATAGAAAAGATTATTTTGGATCTGGAGGTTACAGAGGGGAAATTTAAATGACATCTTTTGTGTACCAAATTTCTTTGAACACTATTAGGTTATGTTTCATATCTGTAACTTTTAAATTTTGTACCATGAATTCTGATGACTTTCATTACTCCTGTGTACCAATTTTCTTTGAACACAACTATTTTAATAATATATGTTCACGTAGCAAGAATTTGATTCACAACTATTTTAATAATATATGTTCACGTAGCAAGAATTTGATTAGCATTTCTTTATTGTTACTTCTGGTAGATTATTAAGGGCTAGTTACTGTAATAACACCGGTTCTGACAAAAGAAGAATGATTCAGAACGTAGCGAATGTTTTCTGGGTATGTACTTTCATATGTATTATTGTATGTCATTTTTTCTGGCATTGTTCAATTGGTTTATTTCCATTTACTATGGCTTCTTATGTGAACTGATCTGTTAAATGTGTTTGTTCATCAATGTTCTCTTACTTTACAGCCTTATAACCTAAATGCAAAATTGTCTAGCTCATTTTTGCCTAGTTTTGTCTTATGTTTGTAGATTTATAAGCTTTGTTTTGTTGTATTAGGTTGATTATAACTTGTATGGCATGGGTCATTTGCACCTATCAAAGATGAAGTTCCGCCACCCTATACCTGACACTTGTGAGAAATTTAATATTGATAGCCAGCAGCAGCATAGAAAGGTGTGTTAATGTTTTTAGCTTTCAAAGTTCCCCTATTTCCCTTGTTTGATTACCAAACTTTTATCTGTTCAGATGATATATGCCTCTTGTTTATATTTGATATCATAATCTTTTGATTAGGCAGATTCAGATGGTCATGCATGTTCGGAGTCAAGATTCTGGATGTCTTTCATGGTCCCATCTGAGTGGATGTGGTCTCTCCCAAACAAATCCAGTGCCTTGTCAAATGACGAGGCTCACTGTCCTAAATGCCAAAGCACCTATGAGCTTGAAGGAGATACTTCTGTAGATGGTTTGTCTGGTTTCATAGCCATACCAATTCAAACACATGTGCATGAACACATATACTAAAATATGTAGTGTTGTCTTCTGCTACAGTTGTTTCCTTATTATGAAAATATTTGTGATTCTTGATCAGCAGTTTAAAATGTATTCATCTCTTTTGTGGAAGAACATATGCATAACGTTTTGATGATGCCAAAGCATTGTAGAAGATAAGAGGTCAAGTTAAAGCAAGTTGATCAAGAAACAAAATCTCAAAGTATTAACTAGATAAATCTTGTCAACCTAACTATATATGTAAAAAGAAATCTTTAGAAATATTGCATAAGATTACTTGGCCATTAAAATAAGGATTTCAAGAAAACCTAAACTTAATCTTTTTTAATATAAGAATAAGTTGTTTGAAAAGAAAGCAAAAGAGTATTCAAAAGATTAAACAAAAATATATTTAACTGGAAAATAGAAGTTTTCTATATCTTAAGTTTTCAAAAAGATAATTTTGGTATTATCAGTCTGGTAATCGATTACCAGGACATGTAATCGATTACCAGAGGATGAAAACTTCTCTGTTCAAAATTGAAATGTTAAACGTGCTCCGGTAATCGATTACCAGTTATTGTAATCGATTACCAGAAGATGAAACTTCAAAGTTTGAATTTAAATTATACAACGTTTCAAGCATTTTGAACTTAAACCATTGTAATCGATTACCAAGTCTTGTAATCGATTACCAGAGCCTATTTTCTGAAAAATTATAGAAAGTTACAACTCTTCATGAAAAGACATAACCTAAAAAACAATTATCTATAAATACCTATAATTTTTCAGAGGAAGGTTACAAGCTCAATTGTGAAAATTCTCTTTAAAAATCAATTGGCCAAAGTCATTTGCAAAATTATCTAAAGAGTTCTACTAGATCAACAAAGTGTAAAATCCACTCTTCAAAAGAGAGTTGCTCTACTTTACTCACTTCATCTATTGATCTGTAAAGGAGAAAGTGTTGTTCTCCTTGTTGGTTTGTGATTCTTAACACAAGGAAAGAGAATTCCAAGGTGTTGGAGAATTTAATTCTTGTAAGAGTTACAAGAATAGTGGAAATCTTAAGTGGGAGACTTGAGGACTGGATGTAGGCAAGGTTGACCGACCAGTATAAAATCAAGTTTGCAATTCTCTTTCCCTATACTTTTAATTGTGATTGTGAAGTTTTTGCATCATTACATACAATTTTTTTATGATATTGAATTAATAAGAAAGAATTTCTAAAAAACTCATAAAGGAAGAAAAATTAGATAACTTAATTCACCCCCCTTAAGTTATACGAGGCTACTTGACTAACATCTTTCACAAACATGCTCAGATGTCAACATGGTGCAGTCACTTGTACCAATATGTGAGGTAGCCTATCATGATTATTCTTTCTATATCTCTATTTTGTCATGTTACATTGTCTGGATTTCTTCTAAATTAATTGCCTTATATTATTTCAGGAACAACAGAAACGGACTGGGATTCAGGAGACTACCATGCGTTCTGATCATTGCAAACCACTTCCAGAAGATGTTACGGAACTTTTCTCTGTTGGTCTTGACTTTGAGAAAAAAATTATTGAATTGTGCAGTGAAGCTGAAGCCTCTTTATTTTGTACTCCTCCTGGGAAGGAATTGAGGTTTGTATGCAGCTATTCTCACACGATGGAAAATTTATTAAATTTTGCACATGTGAAGCATAACAATCCTTGAATTGTTGCAGAGAAATAGACATAATTGGATCAGCATCTCCACCAGCTTCATTATGCAAAAATGCCTTGTGTATAGTTTAGAATATCATAGAATATCTTAACACCTTGAATTGTTGCAGAGAAACAGACATAATTGGCTCATTATCACCACCAGCTTCATTATGCAAAAGTGCCAAATTGCATGAGGAAGGGACTGACACAAGTCTTGAAATGTTGACTATGGATGAAATCCGATCATCTGAAATGATTGGAACGTTGGACATAAAGGCAGTAACTTTTTCCTTATTTTTCTTCTATCTTTAACAATATATTCTCATAGTTATGCTTAACTTTTCTTTTAACAAAATAATCTTCTTCAGTGGTTGGGTATTGTTGAGTAGTGTTTAATTCATAGGGTATGTGTGTGTCTGTTTGTTTTCTCTCTATTATGTATATACATTACCTATAAAATAACTAAAATACTTTTCCTCCCACCTTTTTCTGAAGAAGATATATCTTTCTGCGATCAGTTGCTCCGCATGTAGTCAGGATACCATGAATGATTTAAACAGAAGGATTGTTTTATGTTAAATCTATGTTACCTGCAAAACAACAAAAGTACTTTTCCTCCCACCCCTTTCTCAAAATATATCTTGCTGTGATCAGTTGTTCTGCATCTAGTCAGGATCCCATGAAAGACCTGTTCAGAAGGGTTGTTTTATGTTGAATCCTCTATCTTCCTGTAAATCCTTGCATGGAATCACATACCTTGACTAATATTTTTTATTGTTGATTCTCTAGATCCTAATTACTAAATTGTGTAATTTTTTTTTTTATTATTTTTCTGGTGCGCATTCACGTGCTGCAATATACCTGAACATTAATCCCAATGATTTCATACACTGCTTAATCTCCTTTACAAGAGTTGATAAAAATTATTTAAAATTTTTTATGCAGGAAATATTATCCTTTGGATTTTATTTTTTATTAATGGATTCATTTTTTCCATATAGTTTTTAGTTTTTTAAAACTGTATATGGATATTTTATCATGAATTATTGAAAATTTCAGAAACCTGTTAAAGAAATAAGAAAATAATGTACTCAGGCACTTCTAGATTTGTTTCTTGTTTTTTCTTATTTGTAGGACTAAATGGAGCCATTGGGAGTTAGTTTTTTAATGGCACCATTCAACATTTGGTTTTCTTTTAAACAATTTGGTCCATTCAATTTTTTTGTATTTCTGTATTTCCTGCTTTTTAGGCTGCTGATAAGGAAGCACAAAATCTTCTTAAGTGGCTTGCAACTTCTCAAGCTGCAGAGGATAAAACTCTGATGATGAACTTGTTTATGAAACAATCTTGACTCCCTTGTTACCTGCTGCAACCATTGATAAGGTGCTGGAGGAAGCTAATATGGCTTATGAGAGTGAGTCCCAAAAGGAGTGTCAAGATATTCTAGATTCAATTGATGATATGCATGTGTTGGAGTTACTAGAGAAAAAGCGTTCTCATTCCTTTGATCACAATGGTTCTATTGGAGCTTCATCAAAAAGTATGCTACCCCAAGTTGATGGTTCTAATGATGATGGGCTCTCAAGTCCACATGTTGGTTTCTCTGGAACCTCTTCTCTAGTTGAGATAAATAGTGAATACAAAAGGGCTTCTGAGTACCACGTACTGCACAATACTGGCACAAATACAGTTAGTAAAGATAAAAGGAATAAACAATGGGGATCTTTGCCTTTTTCCATGATTGATAAGGTTAATGATGTTGGAGAGCATGCTACTTTACTTGAGACTCATCCATTTGAAAGTGAGACCGGAGATTCTGCTCACTCAGATTGCTTAAACACTAATGAGGTTAGAAATAGTGCTTGTATTATAAGGAACAACGACAAAGATACTTCAGATTCAAACTGCTCTTTGTGAGAATTGATGAGGCAAAAGCGATCCTATCAAGTTGAACAAGCTGAATTCGAGTCTGGAACTACTAAAAAGCTTCTTTTGGACAAGCATAGGGGACCAAATACATGCCTTTGGCAAAACCAACTGGATTTAAAAACAGTGCAAACTGATGAAGAAGAAAAGGAACACCAGAAGAGTTGTGGCCGCAAAGTTAGCAATCATGCTAATTTAGTGTATGGGAAACTACCTCTTCCAGCTGTCAGTGATGGTTTTTTACAAACTACGATGCCAAAAGGCATATGTTTTAGCCAGCATGAAATGGAAGGTGTAGAAGCAAGTAAAGTGTTGAGGAACAGTACAAACGGAGGGTCTTCTTTAAGGCATGGTGGACCTGAAAATTTTCATTTTATCGATTCCATAGGCCAATCTGTGGCTTGCATGGGTGAAAACCTTATAGTTTGCTCAGCTTTTACAAAACCTATGGCTTCTGATGCCTGTACCAAAAATCATTTGTTAGACACTTGGTTAAGAACAGCTGCTGTTCATACAGTCCGAGCTCCTGAGAGAAGTTTGCAAACCGATTCTTCTGCTACAAGTAGTGTGCAGAGCTCATTAATTGATAAAAATTCTGGCAAATATAATTGCATGGATCAAAGTTCTCATGGAAACATATCTTCTGTGCAACATGATCAGATGATGTTTTATGTGAATTCTTTGGACAGAAGTGCTGCAAATTATATGCAAGTATTGTTAAGTGAAAAAGTGGATAATCAAAAGGTGGGTGAAAATTTGTTGCATGACACTATTGGTTCTGAACCCACCGATCTAAAGGGTTGTCAGATGAAATTAACTAAAAGCAAGAACCCCCTGGTTGATAAGAATCTTGAAAGTACTTTGTCCTTGCCAACCACCTCTAATACCAATTTACATTTGGACGAGAACAGCTGTGATGAAATGCCAGGTTTTAACTTTACCTTTTCAACCCAGTTTCCCTGTTTTTTTTTTTTTTTTTCTTCCTTTTTAACATTTGTTTCTCCAAAGGAATTGGTGAATCTGTGATTCAGTCTAATGGCATGCCTTGTTAAACAATAAAGCCTCTCTCATGCTAGGTTATGTATTAATAGCTGTTTAGCCTTTTTTTAATATTTTTTTGACACCTAACTACCATTCTCTGAAATGACCAGTCTACAGATCTTACAAAGGAAACTGTGATGGTGCTTTTATGTTGCTTTATCTATCTGGAGGTCCAACCATTTAATAAAAGTTTTTAACGGATAGCTTTCATATATTGACTTCCCACACTTCATCGTTTTTTTGGATTCAATGCTGATTTATTTGACATTACTACGTTGTCAATAATATGATTTAACTTTTGAAATAAACTTTGATAGAAATTATTTCTTTCCACTGCTGGATGGCTTCTCTTTTTGCAATTGTTTTGGGTGGAAGACACTGGCTGGCATGAGAGAGGTTATGTGCAAATACTATTATGATTCTTAATATCTGATAGAAACTCATGATGAGGCTAGCAAAATTTTACAAATTGATATCATTTTATTCATGGTCTCCCTCCATGTGGTACTGGAAACTTGCATTTTTTTAAATGTTCATCTTAATCATATACACATTTAGAGGCACAGTATAATCCTGATGAATCTTGGTGACTGGATTGATCCAGGAAGTTATACATTTTATGATATTTTGTCACTCAATGTTAGTATGTTATGTAGCTGATACCCACCTAGTGGGATGAGGCTTGGTGGTGGTTATTGATTTTAGTTTGTTAATTGTTATGCTTCTAAGTTTTCTGGTCTGATCGTACTGCATGTTTAATGAAACTTCACACTATATTGTGTTTATTTCTTGAAGGGAATGCTTTGGATGTCTTTCCTCCCATTTCTGCGAGGGATTCTCTGAAAGAGGTGGAAACTTGCAACAAGTATGGTCCAATTAAAACACTTACATCTAATGGGATGAAGGGTATCATCACTCACTATCAAAATGATGGCTCTCACCTCTACCTATTAACACCTAATATTTTGCCTCCTTCTGCGGTTACTGTGCATAGATGGCTATGTTGTGATGAAAGAGGTATCTACTAAACCGCGATCATTGATTTATTTTTGTCAAGAGGATCTTGGAGAAGATTGTGCAGCCCAACAGGAAAGATTGGAGTAGTAGGCAAGAGGATGCTCTTTGGGCGCATAGGACTGCTTACAAAGCACCCATAGGGATGTCTCCTTATCGGGTTGTCTTTGGCAAAACATGTCATCTTCCTATGGAGATAAAGCACCAAGCCTACTAGGCTGTGAAGACCTGCAACTTCTCGATTGATCAGGCTGGAGAGGAAATAAAGTTGCAACTAAGTAAGCTTGATGAGATCTGCCTGGAAGCTTATGAGAACTCTAAGTTCTACAAGGAGAAAACCAAGAAGTTCCATGATAGCTAGGAAGGACTTCACGGTTGGGAAGAAAGTTTTATTAAATAATTCAAGGCTTGGTCTCATGGGTGGTAAGTTATGTTCCCTTTTGTTGTTACTAACGTTTTTCCTTATGGTACAGTTGAAATCAAAAGTGAATCCACAAACAAGAGCTTCAAAGTAAATGGGCACCGTCTGAAGCCTTTCCTCAGCAACCCTTCCTTGTTGAATGCAGTTGTAGAGGAGATGTCTCTGCTTGACCCTGCTTCTCTCCCACTGTGACTTAGGGAGTTCTCTTTTTCTTTCTTCTTCTCTACTTTTATCGCACATGTCCAATTTTGTTGATTACTCTGATTTTATGTGTGTGCCACATTGGGACAATGTGTGATTTAAGTGTGGGAGGGAACTGTTTTGGTTATATGTTTTTAAGGTTGATTTGTTATTTTTGGTTTAGGTTTTATGTACAGTTTTGCGTGTTTCTCTTTGAATTCTGGGTTTTGATAGTTTGTAGGCACTTACTTCACTCTTGGATATGAGTTACTTGATATTCTATGGATTGAAATCCCTGTCTTTCTCTACTTGACAAGTTGATTATGAGGTTTGAAAGGTTGATTTGAATGTGACAGATTTACCCTGTTGAGGTTTTGACCCCTTCTCTGTTCTTTCTCATGTGTTTTGCCTCATGATTTCTTGCACAATATCCTTGGCTTGACTTTGTTTGATATTTCTTGGTCCACATGCATGTTTGGAAATGATTAAGGCATTTTGATTCTAATAAGCCTTTAGCCAAATAAGCCTACCTTGAACTAACTCCTTTGATAACCCCTATTAAGCCTATTTCCCCTACTTTATTTGAAGCTCATTACAAGCCTTAAGTGAAAAACCATGATTACCTTAACCTCAGGGAGTTTTAGAGCTTTGGAATTATTTTGGGAATAAGTTCTTGAATAAGTATGGGGGTGTGTGTATGTTTCATTGGATGATATATATTGGCTAGTTGGTTCCTCATGTTGTACAGTTCACTTCTCTGCCTTATCTTATCTCATCTAAAAAATTTCATGTGTACTGTTCACACTCTTTTTCCTCAAAAAAAATAATAAAATAATAAAAAAAATGAAAAAAAGTTGTTTGAGGCAAGAGAAAGACGATTGATTATTGTAGAGGTCATTAGAGGTTTCTAAGTTTGCTTCTCATGCTTATTCTTGAATTATTCCATTGCTCCTTTGGTTCCTCTGGTTTGTAGTTATTTATCCCATATATTATCCTCTACCCTATCCTTGGCCTCATTACAACCCTAAAAAGACCTTTTGATCCTTATGTGCATGTGTGTTGGGTGTTGATTTTAGAGGCTTGCCAAGTCTATTTGTATGCCACGTGTAATGTCATCATGCCACGTGTCATGCCACGTGTCACGTGGCATGATAGCATGACACGTGACATGACACATGTCACATCCGTTAAGTATTTAAATAGAGGAAACGAAAGGTCAAACATTGAGATAAATTTTAAAGACGTGAAACTAAATTGATTCAATTAATTAAAGTGGGACTAAATTAACACTAATAAATAGGGATGGCAAAACGGACCAGCCCGACCCGTTCTGCCAATGTAAAACGGGTTGGGGATGTTGGCCTGCCCCGTCTAAGGACGGGCAGGCGGGCCAGCCCGCATACAAAAAAAATAAAAATAAATGGAAAAAATATATATTTTATGTTCAAATAAAATTTTTTTGCTACAAATAAATAAATATAACCATATGAAATTAAAAATGCATACATATTGTACATGATATATGTTCAACAAAATCAAATTACAAACTTACAACAAAATCAAATAGAAATTAGTCCACTTACACCAAAATCAAAACCAAATTATAAACTTACAAATTACTTATAAACTAAATTTTTTGATAGTCCACAAAACAAGTTCAAATACAATTAATTAACTTTGAATTTTTATTTTAAGAATATTAGAAGCTCTCTTGGAAGAAGTTGTCTTTACTTTTTTTCTTGATTATCTTCATCCTCATCTTCTATATCAAAATAAAATAAACATAAAAATAATTAAATTAAAAAATATATATATGCGGGCCGGCGGGTTGTGGCGGG